GAGGGAGGGAGAGGCAGATGCTATCCATGTGGTCAGGCCTTCACTCATCTGTCACACCAAAGCAGCCAGTGCAGCATCATGGTGTGTGGGGATCCAGTGCTGCTTGGGGTGAGGAGAAGCCTGAACCCACCTGTCTGCTCTGAGCATATAAATAATCTCCTGCCATCCTGTTAAACCAGAGCCTGGGTCCCACACAAAGCCCAGGACTGCAGCGAGAGCTGGGGTTTGTGATGAGCTTTGGGTCAGGGATGTCTGACTTCTCCTGTCTCTGCCTATTTTGTCACCCACAAGCAGGGACAGCAATTTCTGTACCCACAGGGGTGCTACAAGGAGAACCTCCCAGAGACTGGAGATCTGCAGGAGCACTATAAAATTCCAGGAGTGAGGGATGTGCAGCTCAGTGCTCTGTAGCTCTTTTACAAGAAGAAAAATAAGAACTGCTCAGCTGTGTGTCCAAACCCTTGTGCTGCTAACACAAATTCTTAAGGAAAAACTTCTTTCCTGTGAGGGTGTTGGAGCCCTGGGACAGGCTGCCCAGAGAGGGTGTGGAGTCTCCATCTCTGGAGATGTTCCAAACCCAGCTGGACACTTTCCTGTGCAACCTGGTGTAGGGAACCTGCTTTGTCAGGGGGGTTGGACTGGACAGAGTCCTGGGGCTCCTTCCCACCCCACCATTAATTCCCCTGCAGGTAGAGCTGGACAGTGGCCCACAGCCACCACCACCCTCCAGCCACCCCATGCAGGGATGCAAAGCAAGGACAGTCCTCAGCCCTGGTCCCAGGCAAGTGTCACCCAGCCCAGGAGAGCCACCTCCTCTGTCCGTGGAGCAACAGGCAGGTCAGTCCCCTACCTCCATGCCTCTTGTAGCTTGTTGAGGGGGTGCGTGGGGTCATCACGGGACGGGCCAAGGCAGAGGACCTGGTGGTACTGCTCCAAAGCGGCCTGCCTGCACTCAGCGCTGCAGTACGTCACCTAGAGCGAGGGGCACAGCGCCCAGCATTGGCTATAGCAGCAGGAAAAGGGGGGGTCCTAGACCCAGCTGTGCCCCCTCCCTGATCACCTGAACCCCAGCTCTTTAGCCATGGCAATGCAGAAGGGAAAGGCAGACACCCATCTTGGGGCAGCACAAGATGCTATAAAGGAGTCAGTGACCCCCAACAAGATCACAGTCCCTCCCAGCAGCCCCATACCTGGCACCGGGGACACTGCTGGTGCAGATCTTTCCGGATGCTGCACTGCTCTGGGTGAGGCAGCACCAGGGAGCTCTTCCCCAGCAGCCGCTGGGCATTTTCCTCTGCCGTCTCCAAAGCCCGCAGGCAGTGATCACAGGCTGTGGGGAGATGACACGGATGGATGTCACAGTGAGAAAAGGGACTGGGGTTCAAGGCAAGACAGTGAGACTGGGACCAACATCATCTCCAAGCTGGAGGCACCAGCCTCTTACCTCTCCCTTCATAGGAAAGATAATTTCTGCCACAATTTAAACCTCCCCCAGCCCTGATCTGCTGCCCCTGTAACACTCAGAAGTGTTTAAGGGCCACCTGATGGCAAATGTCCCCATGTCACTGACCTGTAACAGAGCCCAGCAGACACTAGGGTTTAGGTAGCACAAAAAAAGTTTTAAATCCTGTTTTTACAAGCCTAATTTTTTTGTCTTGGCACCTCTGGAGAGCACTGGAAGCTTTGTGGGATGTACCTTCCCATGGTGAGATTGGGATTAGCACCCACACCACTAAAAAATGGGGGTTCCAACTCAGTTCAGCAGACAGCAGGGTCTAGGTAGGACAAAAAAAGTTTAAAATCCTGTTTTTACAACCCTCTTTTTTTGTCCTGGCACCTCTGGAGAATGCTGACACCTTTGTAGGCTGTACCCTGCCATGGTGAGATTGGGATTAGCACCCACACCACTAAAAACTGGGGGTTCCCACAGAGCTCAGCAGACAGCAGGGTCTAAATAGCACAAAAAAAGTTTCAAATCTTGCTCTAACAACCCTCTTTTTTTGGTCCTGGCACCTCTGAAGAGCACTGGAAGCTTTGTGGGATGTACCCTGCCATGGTGAGACTGGAATTAGCACCCACACCACTAAAAACTGGGGGTTCCCACGGTGTTTAGCAGACAGCGGGGTCTAAATAGCACAAAAAAGTTTCAAATCCTGCTTTTACAACCCTCTTTTTTTGTCCTGGTACCTCTGGAGAGCACTAGCACCTTTGTAGGATGTACCTAGTGATGGTGAGATTGGGATTAGCACCCACACCACTAAAAAATTGGGGTTCCCACAGAGTTTAGCAGACAGTAGGGTCTAAACAGCACAAAAAAAGTTTGAAATCCTGCTTTTACAACCCTTATTTTTTTGTACTGGCACCTCTGGAGAGTGCTAGCACCTTTGTAGGATGTACCTAGTGATGGTGAGATTTGGATTAGCACCCACACCACTAAAAAATCGGGGTTCCCACAGAACTCAGCAGACAGCAGGGTCTAAATAGCACAAAAAAAGTTTCAAATCTTGCTTTTACAACCCTCTTTTTTTGTCCTGGTACCTCTGGAGAGCACTAGCACCTTTGTAGGATGTACCTAGTGATGGTGAGATTGGGATTAGCACCCACACCACTAAAAAATCGGGGTTCCCACAGAACTCAGCAGACAGCAGGGTCTAAATAGCACAAAAAAAGTTTCAAATCTTGCTTTTACAACCCTCTTTTTTTGTCCTGGTACCTCTGGAGAGTGCTAGCACCTTTGTGGAATGTACCTTGCCATGGTGAGATTTGGATTAGCACCCACACCACTAAAAAATTGGGGTTCCCACAGAGTTTAGCAGACAGTAGGGTCTAAACAGCACAAAAAAAGTTTGAAATCCTGCTTTTACAACCCTTATTTTTTTGTACTGGCACCTCTGGAGAGTGCTAGCACCTTTGTAGGATGTACCTAGTGATG